TTTAGTAACTCTAAGTACTAAGTGACACTAAGTACTAACTATAAATACTTAGAGTTCACTCTAAAGTATCTGACAAATGGAGAGGAAAATGTATTCTGTTCTCTGGTCATAATCCCAAGTTTTAGGGAGTATAAAATGACTTCTCTAATAAACTTTCTGTATGTCTGCTTGGTGTGTTTCTTTCCTCTGAAGATTAAAAAGAACAAAAAAATAGTCTGAGGAGACTAGTTCTTGAATGAATGGTAGCTGAGTTCCACTCAAGAATTTCATCTAATGTCTAATTTTAATTTTAATGTAATTGCCTTATTATGTCCTATTCAGTCAAAGTCATTTCACAGTCACTCACATCACTTTAAAACTTAGTTTCCTTATCTTCTTTCAGTGCCCAAATAAAAACCCATGAACCTAAAAAAAAAAAAAAAAATTATGATGCATCCAATAATATGGTCTTTATTCCAAAAACCAGAGCCTGCGGAGAATACAATCAAAGCCACTGATGCTCCACCAAAGACACCATGCATTCTCCAGTCCACACACAACACAGCACACGGTGTTCCTCAGGCTGGCCCTCACAGATCCCCACAGTAAGGACCCACGGATGTCCAGAACCATCCAGCTCTATTACTAGGACAGAGACCTGCCTGACACTGCCTGACAGGCCCTTTCCCCTCTCTGGGACTGTTCTTTCCCCAACGCCAACAGGCAAGCGCTGCCATGTTTTTATAACTGTTTAGTCCAAGGGATGGCCACAAATGACCAAAGCCAGACCAATCCCAAATGGAATCCTTCCATGGTATTTTTATAACTGAATTAGAGACAGGAAGCCCTTTTTGGAGAGCAGAAATGACAAAATATGAAATACAGGAACCGTTCATTCCCTGCTCTGTGGAGGAACCAGCCAGCTATGAAGGAGAACTGAGCCAAAGGGTACAGAAAAGTCCCACGCACTCACACACCCACACACTCAAGCACCCAGCTCTTCACATGGTTCCATAACCAGCCTTTCCTTCTACTGTGATAGGCCCCCCAAACCCCTCAATACCTGACATTTTTGCCAAAGCTCATTTGAACTTCTACAGCTTTAAACCAAAAGCCTCTAACATCAATACTTAGCTACTTCTAAATAGTATATATTTTAAACAAGTTTTATGTGCTTTAAGATTTTTCTATATGGATAATGTTTTCCTTTGGATATTTAAATAGGTTTTAAAATACTAATTTCTAAAAGGCTCACATTTCACTGTGGATAAAAATCTTTTAGAATATCTATTTGAAATAAGTCTTGGCTCATATCATTCAACATGCTCCCCATACTATTAAAATATCATCTTAAGACGCTTACTGCTTGATCATTTTTAGTTTAATTCTAAATGTAACAAGACAAAACTGCCTTCAGTCTTTTCCTTTATGTATTCAGTTATATTCTCTGCTTAAAATACTTAAAAATTGGCACTGATCCATTCACTGATGGGTATTTTAAGTTAGAAAGCAGTAACATATCAAATTAACCACACAATGGCGGGCTTACTCCCAACGATGAACATTGCCCAAATCAAGATTTTCATTACCACCTCAATGGACTTGAACATTTTCACCTTAATTGCAAGTTGTTATGTTTCAATCAAATCGACTTTGGCTTAATAGACTGCAGTGCAGTTCAGCTACATTCAATATAACAAACTCTTAGTTCACAGTCTCTTAAAATCACCATAGATTTCCTTCTCCTCTAGTCAAGGTCTTGAAAATTCCCTGAATGCTGCTGCATTTGGAAGGTTATAATAGTAAGACAACTTTTATATATAGTATTCTACAAATCCTAGTATAACACTGTGCACCTAGTAGACTGAAAACACAGACTCTTGAGTTAGACTTGGAAATCATCCAAACAATCTCAGTTCACAGGTGCAAACACTGATGCCAAAACCTGACCTTAACATGCCCAAGGTCAACAGTTAGAGTTTAAGAAAAATTTAAAGCGCAGATCCAATGAACGTTTTACCACAGGACGCGGAAGATGCTCATATACAACACCATGCTTGTTTGTTCTTAAGACTGCTGACGTTATTTATTCTCACATTATACTATAAACTTTGGTGCACAGAAGGTCATATAAAACCTTAGTAACACATTTACCTAATATCAGACACTGTCACCTAAAATGAAATCAAACCAGAAATACACAGCATAAGTGCTTAGATTTCATGTTTATATTACACCTCCATTCTTTTTTCAAAAATAATATACTAAAGAAAATAGACATTTTGAAAAAGAAGGCTGTGAAACAGACCTTTCTTATGTCAACTCAGAGCCCTCAAAATAAAGATATTTGGACAAAAATATTAGAGGTGTTTTAGCAATCCTTCCCATAGTAGCTAACACTGTATGTGCCCAATATGTATCTGTTGAGTGAGTAACATGCTTACATTTATATGAAATGGAAACTTCACTCCTCTGGTTGTGGATACTTAGAATCGCTAACTTCTCTTGAGAGCAAAAGAAAAATAACACCAAATGTACTATTTACAAGTCATACACTACGAAGCACTTTAGTTAAATATTTCCAATTAGCAAGAAACTCTAAAACAAATGTAGCAATTCATAAATGTAAGGTAGCAACATAAGTTTTTACAGTAAAACATACACAAGTACAATATTTTTAAAGGCAAACTGGAATTCAGACGAGTTCCCAGAAAGCACACTCTCTTTCGGCAGCATATTGTTGACACCACCTTACTAAATTAAACCCCGAGACAGAAACATTCTCCTGACCAAAACACCAGAACTCCAAAGGAGATAAAGGCACATGAGTAATATGATATGAGTAAGCACTACAGTATTCGTCCTTTTTTAAATTATAAGTTTCTATTCTAGTAATAAGGGACCCAAAAACTAATAACGTAAAGAATAAAAAAGCTTAACAAAATTATACATAACTCTACATTGTAAACGTATTACCTAGGAAAAACTGCATTTCATTTTCTGTAATAAAACTTGAGAGAGGAGTTTTTGGTGCAGTAATGCATGCTCTTGTAACAACTTACAGTCCCAAATAGCTAAAGAAGTTGTCAGGAAGTTACAATGAACTTCAGTGAATCAGTCATTAAGCTGGATAAAAATAATCATTTCTCAACTTCTTCAAAAACACTCACACCATGCAAACACGATCGATCCTGATACTGTTTCGCCCTTCCCCCTACGCAGCTTGGGGAAGAAAAATACAAAAACGATGCTTTTAGGCATTTTAAACAACTTCACTACATTGAGAGTGTGTTTTTTTCAAAAAGCCAGCATGGTTTTCTGTCATTTCCACTACGCTGAAAAGGACATATAGACATCCATCGAAATTAAAAGCAGGGAAAGCGGACTTACACTTTTCCCCAGATGCTAAGTGACTGCAGTGACTAAGGTCATGGTCAAAATTCACAGCTCATTTAAACTTTCCTGGCTGAGCCAACAGCTCCGATCATGTTTCCTGATCCTATCTAAGTGGATTAAAACTGCAGGAGTTTCTCGCTGTCAGATCAGCAGGAGGCTATTTCAGACCCTCAAACCGCAGTCCGCATAGCCCGCAGCGGCGCATCCTCCAACCCCGACTGTGCGTGACGCTAACCTTTCCACGCGTTCTTCTCTAGCCTTTCCCACACCCCCCACAGCGGCTGCGCCCAACTCGGGACCCCCTCCGCCCGCGCCCTCCGGGACCCCCGCCTGCTGTCCCTGCCCCGGCCGCCCTTCTGCAGTAGGCGACTTCTGCCCGACTCCTCAAAGTGGGGGAAGGCGACGAAGGGAGGAAGACTCCCCGCCAAGGGCTCTCCAGCCCGCACAGCGGCAGGGCGATGCGGGAGAAGCGCAGGGATGCCGCCCGACGCCAGAGCCATATTTACATCGGCTGCTGCTTTGCCAAAAGGCCGACTTGTGCCCAGTAATATTGCCTTTAAAGGAAAAAGAAAGGACCTAAGCACTAAAGCTGCTGCCCCAAATCTGCTCGCGCTCCGGTATCCTCGCCCCAGTGTCCCAGTGGGAGGTTCGCACGCGCCCAGCCCGGGACAGGTACACCTGCCCGCCGGCGGAGGACGCGGGCGCCGCGCCGCCCCCACACCGGGCAGCGGTCGCCGGGACCCGGCCCCCAGCAGCTCCCGCCCGGGCTGACAGCCGAGGCGGCGCCATGCCCCGCACAAACTTCCCACCTCCCAGGCAGCGGGGACCGACCCGCAGGCGGGCGGACTGGGGGCGGCACTGGCACCCACCGTGAGATCCACATGCACACAGGACCCCCGTCCCGCACCTGGCCCTAGATCTAAAGGGGACGCAAGTGGTGCCTGGGCGGCCCGGAGGGCTGGGGGCAGACGCCGCGGGGCTGGGGGCTCCGAGGCAGGCGAACAGCCGGAGGGCCGGGGCTGGCTCCGGCTCCCCGCCCCGCAGCAGCTGCAGCCGGAGGAGGAGGGGAACGAGGAGGAAGAGGAGGAGGAGGAGGAAGGGGACCGCGCGCCGCAGCCGAGCCCTTACCGAGTGGTTTACTCCCCACATCAGGACGCTGAGCAGCGGGTCGCTGGCCCGAAACAGCTTCACTTTCTGCGCTACGAAGTGCTTCTTCTTGGTCTTGGTCTTGCTCGCCAGGACGGAGGACCCTAGGTTGCCAGGGGTCGCCATGGCCGCCTCCTATGTCCCCTCCACCGCCGCGCTCCCGAGGCCGGGGACCCGCCCTCTCTACACCCCGGCCCGGGGAGGCAGCCGCATCCCCCCGGCGGCGGCCCCGGCGCGCCGCGCTCCGCTCCGCCCGCCGCCGCTGCCGGCGCGCTCGGCCCCGCTCGGCTCGCTCCGCCCGCTCGGCCCGGCAGGCTGCGCTCGGCTCGCGCCCCGGCCCGTATCCCGCCCCCGCCGCAGCTCCGCGCTCAGCCCGGGGCTGGACCCGGCGCGCCGCGAGCGGCTTCCGCGTTGGGCGCCGGCGTCATGACGCAGGGGGCGGGCGGGCGGGAGGTGGCTGCGGCGCCGCGGGCGGGGCACTGGGTGCGGGGCGCGGGGCGCGGGGCGCGGCAGCTGGACCGTTAGGCTGTGCCCTCCCGCCCCGGCTTCGCTGCAGCCGGACCGCCGCCTGTGCGCCGGCGAGCTCCGGGCGTTCGCTCCCGGCCCGCGGAGGAGGCCGCGGGTTACGAGCGGGGAACCTGGGGACCCCGGCCGGGCGTCCCCTGCCGCTCCCCGAGGAGGGAGAGGACAGGGTGGACAGAGTGAGGAGGTTGGGCAGAGGAGCCCCCAGGTGTCGATCAGCTGAAGGAGGGAGGCTCACGCGCTCACCCACGCCACGAGTCAGGAGACCCAGCCAGGTGTGAAATGCTACAGGGAGAATAGGGCTTCCCAGCACCGAGGGGAAGGACCGGGGCACGTTGCCGGGTCAGTCCCTGAAATGAACTTAATACCTTTGTGCCATTAACGGTCTGGCCTTTCAGACCCTCGATATGGGCCTCCTGGAATCATTCAAGAGGGAGACTCCCACCTAATAGGCTGGGCTGTCACTGCCAACCCACTCCGTGCCCGGGGCAGGACCCTGGGACCCTCATTGAGAGCCATTGGCTTAACCAGGAGAATCATGCCCTAAAGTGCACCTTCTTCCGATCCATCACTATGGTCCTTGCCATCCCTGCCTGTTTTCCAGTGCACTGACCGTCCATGGAAATCTTCACCGTCTTCCTCCAGATACACCTAAATGTAGCCCTTATTATGCTGAGAATACCTGGCCTACCTCAGGAAGCTGCCATTCCAAGTATGTCTAAAACCCTGCTGCCCCCATATCGTCCCTGCAGTCGTCATTCTGTGCTATGTATTTACTCTGACACAGGCCTCCAGTCCTCACTGAATAGGTTCTTGGAAACTGTCACCTTAAGCAAAACACCATATAACAAAACCAAATTTGCCATAGGCTGACATAAAAAAGAAAGCTTCCTAGAGCTTTCTTTCTGGTCACAAAAACATCACCGAACTTCGAAGTAAAGACTCAAAACACTTCTAATATTAAACATTAAAATAAATGTGAGCTATACCTCTTTTTTATTTTTATTTTTTCCCTTGAGATAGGGTCTCGCTGTGTCACTCAGGCTGGGGGTGCAGTGGTGCAATCACAGCTCACTGCAGGCTCCACTTCCCCAGACTCAGGTGATTCTGCCACCTCAGACTCCCCAGTAGTTGGGACTACAGGTGTGCACCACCGAGCCTGGATAAACTCTTTGTATTTTTGGTAGAGATGGGTTTTCACTGTGCTGCCCAGGCTGGTCTTGAACTCCTGGGCTTCAGGGATCTGCCCACCTCAGCCTAAAGTGCTGGGAATACAGGCACCAGCCACTGCACCTGGCCCACCTACATTTTTAAAAGATTGATAAAAACAAGATAATGGTTTGCCAAATTTCTGGTGAGTCAGTGAGCGATGGTTGCTGTGGTGCTGGGTTAAATCAAGGAATAAGTGTTTGCAGAGCAAAAGTTGTCGGGAGGACCTGCTGCTACCATCAGATTCAAAAACAATCACAAATATGGTAGCTGAGTGCTCTCCTATCTTGTTTATTGTCATGCATTTTTATGATTAATGTACACTTACATATTTTTATTTTAGAGTCATTTGTTTCATGAATTTATTCATTTTTCCAACTCATTTATTCCAGTTCAAGGTCACAGACACTGGGAGCCTATCCCAGCAGCTCAGCGTGGGCAAAAGGTGGGAACCATCCCTGGATAGAATGCCATTCTATTGCAAGACACACCCACCCCCACACACATACCCCTATTCTCACTTAAACTGGGACCATTTAGGAAGGGGGCAGTGGTTCATGCTTGTAGTCCCAGCACTTTGGGAGGCATGAGGCAGGTGGACTGCTTGAACCCAGGAGTTGGAGACCAGCCTGAGTAATATGGTGAAATCCCATCTCTACCATAAATACAAAAATTAACCAGACATGGTGGTACACACCTGTAGTCTCAGCTATTCAGGAGGCTGAGGTAGGTGGATTGCTTGAGTCCAGGCAGTCCACCTACAGTGGAGGTGTAGTGAGCTGGGATCATGCCACTACACTCTAGCTTGGGTGATAGATGGAGACCCCATCTCTTAAAAAAAGAAAGAAAGAAAGAAAGAAAGAAAGAAAACTACTGATACCATGTAGACAAGCCTATGAACTGAACATGAATGTCTTTAAGATGTGAGAGGAAACTAGGGTACCCAAAGAAAACTCTTGCAGACACGGGGAGAACCTGTAAATACAAACAGTGGTCCTGGCCCGAAATCCATTTCTTTTCTCATCAACATTATAACAAAACAACGTTGAACAAAATGACATTATTTGAGGACCTGCTGTATGTTGTCTGTTGTCATTATCACTCCACTCAAATATAGTAGATACCTTCTGTGCCCTTGGCAGACTGCTTGGTCCTATCAGGGAGATGAAGGATGACAGGCCATTATCCCTTGAGAATCTTGAGTCTCCTCAGGGGTTAAGGGGAGGTCATGTAGTCACCTTCATTTGCTCCTATTCTTTCTTTGACTGTTTTTTAAACACAAGTTTACCCCCAAAGTCCCCTCATAGTAATTTCCTGCTTGCTTTCATCCAAAATGATATCTGCTTCTCCAGCATCAACCATCACTACTCTTAGTGGTTTAAAAAAAAACCCAAAACCTAAATTTTTAGTGAGACAACACGGGACTGAGCTGTAGCTCTCCCACTTACTTGAGCACATCACTTACCCTCTCCCAGCCTCGGGTTCTTTATGTTAACGATAGGTATCATCAGACACAAATGTCACTTTAGGAACTATTTTGAACCTGGTAATATAATCCTGCCCTACCTACTTTATAGGATGTTTGTTAGAATCAAAACCAACGGTAGATAATGGCCATGAAAGCCCTTTGTAAACCAGACAACACAATAGAAAACGTAGCGTGCTTGCAAGTAACTCATAAACTCTCCCCTGACCTCAGAGAAGTGCCTGGTTGCACATTTGTACATTATTTGTCCACAGGCATCTTTTAAAAGTGTCTAAAACCATCTGGGCGTGGTGGCTGATGGCTGTAATCCCAGCACTTTTGGGACACCAAGGTGGGAGAATCACTTGAGCCTAGGAGTTCAAGAGCAGCCTTGATATAATAGTGAGATCTAATCTCTACAAAAAAAAAAAAAAATTAAATTAGCTGCACGTGGTGATATGCACCCTGTGGTTCCAGCTACTTGGGAGGCTGAGGCAGGAGGATCACTGAGGCTGCAGTGAGCTGTGACTGCACCACTGCACTCCAGCTTGGGCAACAGAGCAAGACCCTATCTCAAAAAAAAAAAAAAAACTTAAAACCAAGTTTGACATCTTTCCCCATCCCACAAGTTACTTTATTTCTTGTATTATGTTGGAAATGGCATTCATATCACTCAGTTACCCGAGCTGGAAGTTCTTTTATTTTACAAATTTTCATTGACCAGGCTTGAAGGCTTGCCATCATCATCAATTATTGCTTTTCACCACCACCCAACCTAAACTCCTTTACTGGATCCTGCCCTTGAAAACAATTAGACTCAGAAATTCTCTCTTCCCTGATGCTTTCCTGATCCTCCTAATTCAAATTAATCCTTCCACCTCAGTGCTTCCATAGCATTTATTTGTTTCATAATGGCTATATTATACTTAATTTTATATTAATAATGCAAGACAACAGGCTTGCTGCACCTGCCAAAAAACTGAATTTAGTGATGACGGAGTGCTGAATGAGCCTAGAGGAAGAAGAGATGGATACCTGTTGTCAGGAGAGGCTCCTCCTTAGGAAAGCAGCAATCTGTGGGTGGGTGCAGAGGCCAATAGCACCATGTGAGGAACAGATAGCGGCGTGGTGTGGTATTTTTAGGTAGTTATGAGGAGACTTGCAGATAGTTATAAGGAGACTTGTCCTTTCAAAGGACAGAATTTCTGGTGATTTCACATGTTTTGAATGGCATCTAACACAATGCCATTCACAAATACATCATTAAATGATTTGTTTGTTTATTTAATTTAATTTTTTGAGACAGGGTTTCACTCTGACACCCAGGCTGGAGTGCAGTGGCAAGATCACAGCTCATTGCAGCCTTGAACTCCTGGCCTCAAGCCATCTCCTACCTCATTAAATGATTTTGCCAATAACCTTTCACATTAGCTTTGTGGTCTGTGGAGGGTGTGTGTGATGCAAGAGTTCTAGAGTCACAGAAATGACCTTAGGTCATGCCTGTCATCCCAGAGCTTTGGCAGGCCAAGGCAGAAGGATTGCTTGAGCCCAGGAGTTTGAGGTTACAGTGAGCTATGATTGTGCCACTGCACTCCAGCCTGAGCAACAGAGTGAGACTGTCTAAAAATAATAAAAGAAAAAGAAAGAAGAACGAAGTGACCTCAAAATGTGTAATCCAATTCTCAAATTGTATGCATTAGATAGGCAATTGAGATCTAGAGAAATGTAATAAGTAATTTCTTGGGCAATAAGAAACTTTGAAGGCAAGGACCGTGGTGTACCTGCTTCTAGGGCCTCTCAGTGAACCCTGAATACTCCCTTTCCCATAGCACCTGTGGTGAAATTTTGGTGAATAAAGAAAACCGAATTTTTTATCTCTCATAACAAAGTTACATGAAAAGTTTGCATAGCCAGAAAATGTTTTGTGCAAGGTTCCATTCAGAAATACTTTGTTAGGAAATTAGGTTGGACATAATATTTAAACTCCAGGGCTAGATACTACATGTAGATTTAGCCACCTAGCAGTTTAATCACTGTTTTCCTTTGGAGTTTGCATGCTAATGAGACAAAGTTACGTCCTGCTTGCTCTTGGTTCAGCCCACCTGGTTCAAGCTGCTTACGTTATCGAGGGTTGAAGAACCCAAACCATCCACATTTGCCAAAGGTCTGGAAGAGAGGCATAGCTGGAGAAGGAAGATCAAGGGAGTGTGACTTCAAGAAGAGCATGCGGTTGTGTCAGTCAAGAAGAATGCCATGCCCTCCTCAACAGCCACACCCTTTTGCATTTGGCCTGATGGGATGTTACTCATCCAGACAGCAAACCCATCACAAAGGGAAGAAAGGCTCCGGCAGCCAAGTTCACTAAGAAGAAAGAAGGACATATCAAGAGGATTTAAAAGGTTCACAATACTGACTTGGATTTATTATTTATTTATTTATTTATTTATTTATTTATTTTTGAGATAGGGTCTCACTCTGTGCCCCAGGCTGGAGTACAGTGGCATAATCATGGCTCGTGGCAACCTCAATCTCCTGGGCTCAAGCGATCCTCTTGCCTCCGGCCTCCCTAATAGCTGGAACTACAGGTGCACACCACATGCCCAGATAATGTTTGTATTTTTTGTAGAGACAAGGTCTCGCTATGTTGCCCAGGCTGGTCTGGAACTCTTGGTCTCAAGTGATCCCTGCCCTTGGCCTCCCAAAGTGATGGGATTACAGGCGTGAACCACTGTGCACAGCCCCCAATACTGACTTGTTTATGCTTTTTACTGTTGTGGTTTTGTTTTTGCTTACATTTACTGTAATCAACCTTATTTAGTATCATAAAACTGTATGGTGTAAATATTATGTTGTCTAAGGTATACAAGACCAAAAGTAGAGGTTGAATAGGGTAGATGCTCTGATTTTTTTATATTACCCTTTTTAATAAAAAAAAATACTATCAATTGAATAATTCCAATTCCAGTTCTTCCTTGAGAAAAGGAAACTGGTAGCTTTTTTGACTTAGTGCTATTTGGAAGCTTTGTGCCTTTCTTTGCTTCATGAAGAGATCAGAGCAAGATGTGAGACAATTCCATTCAGTCTTCTACAATGTCACCCTGAGCTTTGCCTTGCAAAAGTATTATGTTGAAAGACCATTCTGAAAGTGCATCAACTGTCAAATCTCACCAAAAGGCAATAAGTAAGCCACAAATGCAATCAATGGGCTCCAAAAATTCAACTGTGACATGTGAGTTACTTTTGGGGGGAGAAGTTTTTGACATGATGCAGCACAGCTTGCTGTCTGGGAGTTCCAGGGGTCTGGCTAACCTATCCAAACCCTTCCTGGACTGGCTGTGGTTTGGCGCCGGCCAGTTGGGGTTTTCCACTCCAATTTAAATATTGATGATGATTCTTCTGGCTTCTGTAGCTGGCTGGGACTTCCTGCACAGTGGCAGCCACTCCAGGAATCTACCAGTTAGTTGGCACCTATCTGGTTAGCCAGACTTGGGGAGATTGGACTGGGAGAATATGGAGTAAAAAGTGGGTAATGCACAGACTAACCATTCCCCAGACCACCCCACCTTCTCCACTCCCTAAGCAGCAGCATGAGAACTTGAGCTAGCCTCCCCCACTGGAAGACAGGAAGCTGTGTGAAGGACATTATATCTTGATCATATATACCTTCATATATATGAAAGGTTTCTTTATTATAGAAATGGAAATTTCAACATTGGGAGAGCACATGGTGGAATATAATGCATCCAATAAACATATTTTCACAGAAAGTGTAATGACATAAAATAATCATGATATTAATATAAGTGAAAAAATAGGATACACATTGTATATATGCTATGGTTTTAATATTACACAATAGGCCAGGCACGGTGGCTCACACCTATAATCTCCGCACTTTAGGGGGCCATGGTGGAAGGATCTCTTGAGGCCAGGAGTTCAAGACCAGCCTGGGCAACATAGTGAGGCCCTATCTTTACAAAATAAAGATTAAAAATCTTGAAAAAGTAAAAATTATATTATAAAATGTGTGTGCATGTAAAACACTGAAAGAAAACACAGCATACTTTTGACAGTGCTATATCAGGGGTGCAGTTAGGGTTATGGACGATTTTTTAAATGTATTTCTGCATTTTCCAAATGTTGTAAGATGCATATGTGTTACTTTTATAATAATGTTTTTAATGCAACTGTCTTTCCTAGTTAAATAAGTAACACAATAATGTCATTTAACATACTAACCCAATTCCAATAAGAGACAAGCATTTTCACTTGTTCCTTGCCATTTATAATAGTCGCTGTATGATTGAGGCAATGGCAAACTAAGCCTATAGTAAACAGACCATTTTCCTATATGTAGGTAAAAGGGAACCTCCGGTGTTCACAAACAGTCCTTATGCAAATGGAAGTTTACAAATTGTTTATCTATTGGGCATCGTCTTCCCAATGCATAGACCCTATGAGTTTTTCGGGGACCTAGAAAAAATTTGAGATGTGAAAACAAAAGTTTTGATTCCAAAAGAAAACTACCAAAGTGATAGCAATAATAACATTTGACTAAATGTTGCCAAAACATAATACTGCCAAGTTAATTAAATTTGAATTTAGTATTTAAAAAGTCATTACATATATAAACAATTTGTGAGTTAGCTTTTCTTATGTTACAAGTGTGCATAATTATTGATAAAAAAGATAGTATACACTCAATCAAAAATTAAATGTTTTGCTGGACATGGTGGCTCATGCCTGTAATCCCCGCACTTTAAGAGGCTGAGGTGGTAGGATTGCTTGAGCCTTGGAGTTAGAGACCAGCCTGGGCAACATAGGGAGACACTGCCTCTACAAAAAAAAATATATATATATTATCCAGGCATGGCTCATGCCTGTAATCCTAGCACTTTAAAGGATTGCTTGAGCCTAGGGGTTAGAGACCAGCCTGGGCAACATAGGGAGACCCTGCCTCTACAAAAAAAAAAAATATATATATATATATTTATATTATATATATTTATATTATATATATTAGATATATATTTATATTATATATTATATATATATATATTTTGTATATATATATAAAATCCAGGCATGGTGGCGTGTGCCTGTGGTCCCAACTACTTGAGAGGCTGAGGTGGGAAGATCACTTGAGCCTGGGAGATTGAGGCTGCAGTGAACTGTGATCAGTAGCACTCTAGTCTGGGTGGATTAAGATTCTGAATCTATAAAAAAAAAAAAAAAGTCACAGCTAAACATTTTTAGAGCAAAATTATAAAAATCTTTTCTAATGTATTTTACAGCAAAAATGTTTAATTAAATGTGGACTGTGAATGCATTTTCATATGTTTGATACACTGAAGGGTTGCAGCCTCCAAATATAAGAATTCCCAGCCCATAGGAGAGTTTTTTAAATGGCTAAGGCGAGGAAAGGTTCTATTCTTTGTTGATCAGCAAGGTCCAGACAAATTAGTGTGACCTTCAGATCTGAAGCCAACACTGAATGCCAAGACCAGAGGAATTCGAAGATTTTACACTTGATTTTAGCCAAAAGGCCAAGAAGCAATGGAATCAGAAGATTTTAGCTTGAGGCTTTTGTCCTGGGCAAAGGAAAAGTCCAGAAGCAGGAAGCAAGGAGAAAATGCAAACTAGCTTCTCTGCCTAAAGCAGTGTATAGTGGAAGATCTCAGCCATGCCTTCATTTATGCCTTTTTTAGCTCACTGCAGCCTTGAACTCCTGGGTTCAAGCGATGCTCTTGTCTCAGCCTCCCAAAGTGTTGGCGCTCCAGGGATGAGCCACCGCACCTGGCCTTATTTGTGCTTTCCACGTTCCTGCAATCAAGGGGCACTCTTGATTTATGTGCCTACTGCTCTTAATGGGAAGGCACCTAGAGGGAAATCTCACCTGAAGTCTGCTTTCATGGAGTTTTTAATTCTAAAATATAGTATACACTGTACTGATGCTACACTGAAGAAAACCTAGAAAAATAATTGATGTGCATATTTGAAAAGCATCTAAAAAAATGTAACTGGAGATCAACGTAAGAAAAGGATCACAGTCTTCTTCACGCTGCTGTGTCCAGTGGTCAGGGATGGGGCAGTTCCCAGGGTCTCCACTGCCCTCGAGAACCAAATGGAAGACACATAACAACAGTTTTGAGAGTTAGCCAGGGACTAAGGCCTTGCTTTCCCAGAGCGCTGAGGGTATGAGCTGGTGAACCCTGTGGGGTTCCTGTTCGTCAACCCAGGAGGAAGAATTGAGGTAGGTGAGAGGAACAAGAGGTCCCAGAGAGATTCCTGGTGCTACCCAGGCTGTTTCCACTTCCTCCTCACCATTCTCAGTTCCTAAAATTTGTGGTTGTAGCCTGCAGAAGCAGACCCAGAACAATCACTCAGGAGGTCCCCACTGCAAAGGCATTCCTAGATCCATCTGTCACCCACACCCGTGCTCCCAAACTTGGGGAGCCTATCCAGTTTTACCCCAGTTACATAGAAGTCTGCAAACCCATGGAACCCTCTCTCCTGTCACCTGTGCAAACATCATGAAATTCTACCCCATGAGTTTTCTTTTTTCTTTTTTTTTTGAGACAGTCTCGCTCTGTTGCCCTGGTTGGAGTACAATGGTGCAATCTTGGCTTACTGCAACCTCTGCCTCCTGGATTCAAGCGATTCTCCTGCTTCAGCCTCCTGAGTTCTCATAGTTTTGGATTTGAGTACCTGATATAAAGTGCCGGTTACTTTCAATTAATAATCTGATGCTCATCTTGTCACCCTCAGACATGGCCCTAGTCAGTTTCGCAAGTCTCATAAAATCTCAGAAGAGATGGAGTTGGGCTTGAGGGATTTTTAGACTCTGAAAAACACCTTTTCAAAAAAACACCCTTCCATACTTTTAGCACTAGCTAACATTTGAGTGTTGCAATAAAAGGAAGTTACAGATGAAATCCTTGTTACATAAAATTCTAGGTCTGAATTTTAAAGATAGGGGACTCTTGATTATTCACAATATTCATGCCCCTGGTTTGTGCTGTCACCTAACTATGGGATGGCTTCTCCTTAGAGAGTTGATTTCACAACTAACTTTCAATGAAGAGTCCTGTTTTTCCTTTACTAACTCAGGCTTTTTCCGTTTTAGTGTTCAAATTCAAATTTTAAGTAGGTCATAGTACTGGTATTTACAAATTTGATAAACTAGAACTCAGGGACTAACTTGAAATCAGAGGTAAGTTTATTACCATTTTTGCTCATTCATTCATCACATATGTGTTGAGGTCCTAGAAGATTCTGAGCATAAAGATGAGTAAGACTCGTCCCTTGCCCTCGAGGGGTGCATAATTAAGTAGCGAAGATAAAGCCATAAACCAACCATCTTTAATGCAATATGGTACCTTCTATAGCAAGACAATAGAGATAGGGCTGTAAGTGCTTAGAGGGAGGAAGAAGCATACGAGTAGCATGTGGTGCGGTGA